TACATTTATATTACTAATTTCCTATGTGCACAGAAATTGAAAGAAAGCTATGTAGCCTCTGGCCAAATGAGAGGTGTCTATGATTAAGTTTTATACCTATATGATATATAATTTGTTGCAGTGTTAAATGAGACAATGAGAAATCTTGATTAGGGTGCATACTACTTTTTGGAAAACAATTATGTGTGGTTTTGTTCAGCAGCATTTTGCTGTTGCTGGGCAGTAGGGGCTGTCCATAAATAATGTAACACAAATTTGGAGTTGTTTTGAATACCCCATTCCCCCACAGCAATGCGCCCGTATCACATGCTTGAACTTCCCGAAAATAATAATGACGTAACACTTGAGACCCCACCCCACCCCACATTTGCAAGAATTAAAAATAAATTATATCACAAAAAAGAACAACAATTTGTATTAATTTTATTTGTTATAATTGAAAATTTATGATAATTAAAGTCAGAATTAATTGGTAATGATGACTAAAAGTAACAATAACACAATAACATTGGGAATGAGTGCTATGTGAAGGAAGGACACACAGACGTGAACTTATTTAACAAGCGAATGATACAATGATGTACAAGCAAGTCTTCTGCACCAATTTAATAGTATTCTAGAATATACAATAGATCAGTTTAGAAAATTTTCTTTGTAATCCTACAGATTCTATAAAACATTATGAAAAAATAATTCAGTTTATTGTAACAAATTACACAATAACTTTAAATTATTTGTTTTATAAAGTAAATAATATTTTAATGCTTTGTTTTTAGAAAGAAGAATGTAATTTTCAGCTGTCGAAAAATTATAAATTATTCAATGTTACATAACACTAAACTAACATCCCCTTACCCCCAAGTAACACAGTGTAACATTGCCTGAAACTCCCTCCGCCTCTTTAGCATTACGTATTTTACAGATGACCCCCTAGTAATATTATAACATTGCACATTGTATCCTAATATTTCAGCCATCTCTTCCAAAACTCCTTTCCTCTTGTTCCAAAAAAATGAAAGATTTTTGAAAATATACTAAGCCATTATCTGGAAATGATGCTTATCCATTTAAAATGCACTATGAATCAAATTATGTGTTCATTTTTGTGTGTGCAAAATTGTATAATTATTTGTAATTTCATTTTGTGTAAAATTTGATAAACATGAAAGCCCTACTAAATTTTCACCCTACTGAAGCAGGAGGCCTTTGCCCTTTAAGGGATTTTGCAGGCTCAATAAATAAATGAATGGATTGACTACCAGTTGCGGATTGGAGTCAGTTAATTTATTTGCGAACTTTGTGGTGATGTTAACTCGTCTATTGTTACTTCTAATGTTATACTAGTTACTGCGAATAATTGTATTATCTTCTCATTTACACCTGAGACATATTCTATACTCAAATTCACTATTTTCAATGAATTGTAATGCTTGATACAAACGAGAGTGCTGGCCCAGATGGCATATTTCATATTCACTTAGGCTTCTTTTCAACAGATCCTTGAGATGGAGCAATTTCCCTAATTTCTATATCCATGGTAAGAGCAAAAAAGTAAACTGTAAAAACAGTATGTGATGTTTGGGGGATAAGATCATCTGCACACATTTTCTTGAGCTCCAGAATCCCTTCTCATCAATCTTTAACTATAAATAGTTAAAAGATAAGTTAATGTAAAGACAAATAAATAAAAATAAAATTGTAAAAAGTACAAGATTAGCAATATTTGAAAAAACTAGACATTTTCGTTCCCAAGTTCTAGAAAACTTATTTGCATCAGTAAATGAATTGCAGATATGATTTTGCTGCATTGCTAACAAAATAGTAACAAAATAGTTACCTCTACTCATACCATTACAAGCAAAAGGAGATTTCAACAAAACATGCCCATAGTGAAGCTACATTTATGTCCAGAAGCCAAACGGGGCCATCTCAGCATTTGCTCAATGGATCAGAAACTGAACAAAAACCTGATCGAGATTGGGATCATTGACCTGCCAATTATTTCTTGGTGTAAGGAAAATCCTTAAATCACTTAGCATAGTATATTACGTGTAAATGACTCTTAACAAATAAAATTTCAATTTTTGCAAAGTGGGATAAAGGTTTATTTTGTTATCACGTGGCTCTTTAACTTTGGCCCAATGGTACCCACACATGAAAGGCCTATGTGTTAACATTACACATGTTCCAAGAACCAACATACCATCACTGAAATCATCCTTAACTATCTAATTGACAGTTCTTGAAGGATAGTTGCAGGATAGATTTAAATCTTTATTAGTTGTTGAAGATATTTTTGTTTTTTTCCATATCAATTATTATCTGAAATTCCAACTTATTCCTCTAGGTCTCTGGAAACTGAAAATGAAGATCAAGATGTGAACGTTTACAACCTCATTTGGTCAGTGCTCTGTGAAGACAGTTCGGGACAATATTGTGAAGTTGTCTTAGGATCCCCTTGTGAAAATCCTTTGTCTTATGAGTGGGAAAAAATAATTAATGGTAGTGCGATTGGACATCTTTACAGAATAGCTGATCTTAATGTTTCTAAAAGACTTCCCTCTGATATGTAAGACTGCAAAATAAAACTTCATTTTATTACAGTAATAGAATATACAATGCATCTTGTTATGAAATTTTCATTATTTTATTACAGCATGAATAGAGTGCAGGGATTTCTGAGGAAAAGTTCTAATACTAATATGTGTTCAAATGTTTCTTCGGATGTATCAGAGCAGAGATTTTTTTATGTTTTTTCTGCCACAACTGAAATGTGGATCTGTGAAAACAATGAAGAAACAATTGCTGAAGATATTCTTCCAACTGTGGTCACATTGTCTAATATTCAAAAGAAGGTGTGTGCAAATACTTTTATCACTATTTCCATTATTCTCAATTATTGTAATTCTATTTGTATTTTTTTATTTTCCCCCATTAGTAATAATAATAGTTTGTCTCTTAAATGTAGACTTGGTATACTTTACATGCAAATGTTACTGTACGTTCTTTGCAAATATAATAATTTGAAGGAAGATAAGAAATATTTCATTGTGTTGCACATGTGCTGAATTGAAGGAAACATGTAACTTATTATGTGATATATATGTATATGAATGTATAAAGACAATGACGATTAATGTTTTTAGATCAACGATGGTTCTTGGCGGCTCACTGTGTTAGTAAAAGTCCTTGCCTTTTGGAACTTCAATCTTTATATTGTAGACTCCTCACTAAAAGAGGATGAAGACAATTTCAAATCAAATTACGTAAGAATAAATATGAAACCTTCATGTCATTTACCACAAAATATACTGACAAAAAGTCTATGTTTTCAAGACTTACTTTTATATAAGGGTGAGTTTCACACAATTATTAATTTTACTAATTGAAGTAAGATTAACAATGTCGTATAAAATGTCTAATTTTTAACCGCTTGTTTAAAGCAAATGATAATTGCTTAAATTAGTAAGTACTGTGCTAATAATGCTCAAATTCACAGGTGAGTTTTTTGCTGACAAATATTGTCGTGTATTTTCTCAAGAGAACACAGATGCTGCTTGCACAAAAATCGATCTTGAAAGCATTGCTCGATTGGACAAGTTATCCTTTTATATTCCTCAAATACAAAAGTCTTCTCAGATCAAGGATTTGGTGCTTGCTGGAGGTGCGTTAATAGTGCTGATTATCTATTAATTTATGTGTCGTACTTCAGTTGACAGTATTAAAAAGAACAAAGGTTTTGTATTGAATCATCGTTCGTAATTCTTAAAAGCTATAGATATTTTTTTCATAATCTGTATTTATTACCTTTTTTTTTTTAAGTTTGAGTTAAACTTTACTCATTGAGAAAAAAATTATAGAATTCGAACATAACTTATCTACATACTTTACCCTATAATATCCAGGTTTATCAAGAAAGAAAAAAGATTTCATTGGTTTACACGTATTTCATTCATTGTCAAGGACAACTTGATTGCTTATTATAAAAAAAAATAGTACCTAGGCAGTAAACATCGTGAATATCAAATACTTAAGTGATCATGCTTTCAGATCTATTGCCCCTGAAGATAAATCACGAGATCTAAAATACCAATTATAGAGCTGCAGTCCTTGCTAAGTAGAGATTAAAGTAAAGAAATGTTTATACAGATGAAATATGAAACATCGAGGAAGCTCACCTTAAATATATGGGAAAGAAATTGAGAAAAGAACATTGTTGTAAAATTGTGTATTATAGTTGTATAATATATATTAGTATACTAACTACTATATTAGTATACAACTAGTAATATACACTAGTAGTTGAAAGGCATGTGTAGTATTAAATTTTAACAAAATGTTATGTTTAGAGAACAGTTAGAGGGAAGAAATAAAATACTGGATGTCACACCCAAGTACTAAGACAAGAACATGGAAATTAATTATTACTTACGGCTATAAAATTCCACTCTGGTTCTTGGTTTTGTCTGCTTCATTCCTTGTTTCAGTTTTCCAGTATTTAATCCACTTCTTTGGATATAAAAGATTAAAACTTTTGAATCACTGCTTATTAAGACCCTGAAAGAAGCACAAAGATTTTAAGTAAAATGAAGTTTCCACATAAGAAAGTATTAAAGATTAGTTCTTTTTCCTAACTGAGCATTATCATTGGTTATTAATAATATTCATGTAGTCTTTCATTCGAAATTTTAGTTGTAATATTGTGTCTCTTAATTTACTTACATTTCTCCTGTTCTTTTAATCATATGCCACTATTACTGCGTAGTGTCTTTGCTGTCCTTTTGTTTTACAAAATACCTGCAAGTAAAAGTAGATAATGGGAGAAAGACATTAATTGCATATTTGAAGATTAATAATATCAAAAGGAGAAGTTTGACAAACTTGGAAAAATTGTAAATCCTATTTTTTTCTCAGCTATATGTATTGTAAAGAGAAAGTAGGACAGTATGTGTACAAATATGCATGTGTGTGTTATGCTGACTCATGTATAACTTGAATAGGTTTGAAGCTTTTGCATTGAAAGTTTGTGTATGTGTCAGGAGTAAGGTCGATATTATTGCCATTTCGAAGATGTTTGTTGCCTTTACTGCCCTTACATTATATTTCTGGCATGTGAAATATATTATAATTATATATTTAATTATATAATATAATAATATAATATAATAATATATAATTATATTATAATTATATGTTATAATTATATTTCTGGCATGTACTTAAACTGTTACTTTTCTTACAAATCATTACAATATCCACATGCTGCATTTTGCAACATTAAGATGAAAAGTTTTGGTAGCATTATACTATTTCCTTTCACATTAAAATTTTAAATAAATTATAAACAAATCAACATGCAAGGGACAAAGTTTAAATATTGTCATAAAAAATTGTTTGCTGTATAGGGTGTGTGTCAGATGTTGATGAAGAGTCCGCATTATCTTGGCCAGTGTGCAAACAATGCCAACGTGATTTAATAGAGCACAAACATCACCACCAGCTATTATGTGAGCATTGTGGCCTTACTGATCCGGTAACAAAATTATCTCTGGATGTTATCTTGTATTGCAGTAATCTGCCTAAACTGCACATTAAAGTGAAGGTAAAGGTGAAACTCTAGTTCCTTTTTTTTCTTTTTTTGTAAGAAAGATTATCTATTAATAATAAATATTTATTTTGCAGCTATTGCAGAAATCCATCCTCTCTCTTCTACCTGGAGCACTTGAAGGAACTGTAAGTTTTTGAATTGTTATAGATAGTAGTGGTGATGGACATGAAAATGTAATCCAAAGAGAGAAAAAAATCAAAAAACAACAACAAACAATAATTAGATTGTGCATTATTTTGCAGCGTTTTGAAGTTGAAAATGTCTTGGGAAAGCCAATTGGTCCATTGGTCTGTGTGGTGCTGGAAGACAGTCCACCTCGGATTAGTTCTTCTTCTTATGATATGTTACTTCAAGAGGTTCAGTTTTTGGGAGAAAGCTATGAACTGACTAATTAAAAAGAAAGTTATCATAGTAACTTGGGTTTACTGGCCATTGGTATAGTGAAAATGTATTTATTTGTAGTTCCTCTGTAAAATAATTCACCATTTTCTTCTAATTGATTTTGTTCTGCATTCAATCTTGTGTAAGGACTACCTGTATAAAAAATTACAATTAGTTTTGAACTACGTAGAAGTATGTCCCTCTTCAACCTTTGTGAAGTAATTTATTTTTTGTGTATTGCAATTCAAGTTTATTTATTCTATTGTCACGAGGGAACATATTTTCTTTTTAAATTATGTTCATATGTGTTTCTAAATTTGTTAAAAGATGTTTATTTTAATACACAAAGCAATGTAAATATGATTAAATACTGGTGTGTAAATATTTTCTTAGAAAATGGAAACCTAATTTTTTATGTGCAATTATTTTGTATATGTCCAAGTTGTGTATATTAAACATATTTTTTTAATATAATAAATAATTAATGCATTTTATTATTTCTACAATATCAATTTTTTTTTAACCTTTTGAAAATCTCACAAGAATAATCAATAAGCTTAAACTCTTACAAATGAAGAGAAAAAATTTGAAAATGAAAAATGTGAATTGGCAATATAGATATTTTGCCACAAGGAAACAAAATATTTAAAAGCTGGGCAATTCTAAAAGCAATACTTTTAGAACTCATTCAACTATTTTGACAATTGCGTATTTTCTACGAAAGATTGTATTGTTTGTATTTTATATATAAACAAATCATTCAAAATTTAATTGTTGGTGTTTTTTTATAAATTTATTTATTTATTTTAATCTTACTATTATCTGTTTTAGTTTTCTCTATACTTAATTTTCTTATTTAAGTAACATTGTTTTCAATTTTCATTTCTTGATTTCTTAATTCTTGTGCTTTATCCAGTCAACTGAATTTCTCTATTTCATTTAATTCATACACTATTTGGAGTTATTATGTATTTACTTTTTCATCATGAAGAAGCAATTGTATGAATAACTAATATAATGAAATCAAGTTATTATTTTGAGATGTAAAGCTTCACAGTCTAGACATTCTTGTATCTATTAACACTTGTTGATCCTCTCTTCTCTCCATGCATTACATTAAAATTTGGTGATTGTTTTTGACAAGGCATAGAAAACCATGGCTGAAAACCCTCATAAGTGTGTGATCAGTGCTGTTCAGGTAATGCTACATTGAATTTGTGAAGGAAGGGTAGTGTGCACAACAGGAAGACCATGATATGATGGTTGAAATGTTGGCACCTCAGCCTAGATCAAGACTAGCTGCAGAAGCTTATGACAGTCACCTCTAAATATGCTATTAATGGATAGGGAATTACTCCAGCTATGCATCAAACAGATTTATGATGAAAAATGTAGAAATTTGTAGATTATGATGTAGGGAACAGATAATTGTCATACCTAACACTGGGCAACCCATACTATCCATTGGTGAGATTTTTCTCACTAAGACCAAACCTCCTTTCCCCTCCATTCTCTCTGCTGAACTGCCTGTTTTGTTTTGGTGGCTGTGAGTACTTGTGTATATGAAGTAAAGAAGAGTTTTAAAAATGTGCACATAGGATGCTTTATTGTGATTTTTGAATGCCTGGAAAAAAGTGGAAAATTAAAGAGTGATGAAGATCAACAGTAATATTTACTGATCATAAAGATAAAAATTGAAAAAGTCTATGAAAGTGCAATCTGTGCACATTTTCAATTAAAGATCAAAATTTATCTCTATGAAGAGGGTTGCACAATTTACAGTTATAATATCAAATAATTGGAAAAATCTGAATTAATTTATCAATAAAATTAACATAATGTACTATATAAGTGAGTACATAAGGTGTAAATGGGAATAGAATACCATACATTATTTTATTATTTTACCTACAATGTAGAACGTTTGTTGCTTTCTTTGGATGGTATAAGTAGCTTCATAATAACTGATGCTCTAATGGATTAATTATAGCACTATTTGCATTATTGATTTATCAAACTGCTTTTAGAAGACAAAATAAAGGCATTGTTGGAAACAAACAAGTAACATTACTATATTAACTAAGACATACATGTCAAATAATTATAGAAATAAAAAGCAATACTCCATTGCTGTTCTCACTACATGTCAGCACAAAACTATTGTATTTTTTATAGATAAAAATTGGAGTTATTCACATCTGATACAATATCAAACAAGTTCAAGTTGTATTCTTCAATAGAACAAGTTCATTGTTCACAGTTGGAGATTGTTGTCAATGAAAAGTAAAGGATTTTACCCATTGCAATATATACAAATGAGGTCTTTCATAACCAAGAGAGCTAAGTGCCAAAAACGTTTTTTCTTCACAAAATTTATAAAAACTGTATGAATTCATATTCACATACAAGCACTTTCATCATACTAGGTAGATGTTACAACTTCTTGGAGGATGTTTGGAACATCACTCATTTAACTGTGTATTGGCACTGATTAATATGATATTTAGATGTCAAAACCTTTGTTTTTTAATTGATGGTACTTAGTTCCTTTGGCTTTGCAAGGACTCAAATATTCTTAAAAAATGAAATACAATGCTGACCAAGGAATTCTATTTTTAAAATCATTAGAGATTAAAATTGGTAGTATTGCTAAGATCAATTAAATAAATTCTGATTTACAGAGCGGTACTGTGTCAATATGCATTTGTAAATGAAACCCACAAATGTAATTTATCTACATCACTGCTTGTGACAAAGGTACTATTTTTCACAAGGATGTAAAGGGGGAATTAGAAAAGAGGAAAACAATATTCCTAGATGTGGTAAATTCTAACTAGAATTTGATGTAAAAAGTATAAATATATATGGAGAAAAATATTTGAATTAATAAAAATCTCTTGGGATCATCAAATAGTTGAGTAAAAGCAGTACATTGATTGATTGATTTAAAGAAATTTTACATTATATTTCTTTGATTTGAAGGAATAGCTTCAATGTACAACCCATTCTTTTTTTGAAATGAATTGTAATGCATAAAGCCTTTTTCATGTGAATTCAGTTTTTTAAATATATGAAAGATGATGTTTCTGTTTATTCCTGCATACTTTATAATAATCTTGATATAATAATATTAACGTGATTGATTCATTAAACACACTTCCTGGAGGAGGGGGGGGGGCTCAAAGGGTTTTGTTTCGTCAAGCAACTGATATATTTTTTAAAATATTTTACTAATTTCTGTAGTCACAAAATTAATTTAATATTGCAGTTGAATAGTGTAAAGAACTACCAATAATTAAATAATTACAAATAAAAGAATAAATTAATAAATGAAAAATTCCTTATAAAAAACAAACGAAGTTGGTTGTACACTACCTCATCTCCCGATAGCTCCCCGTGCAAGAGGCCTAGTTGTGACTACATAGTACCAAACAATCTATGTACAAATTTAATATATTCTAGCTCTAAGGAGGTCAACTTGTGCATTGATGAATCTGTATTATTGTAATTGGGCTTTAGAAATGTTAAAATCAAAATAAGCAGAGATAGTGTTGATTAATTGATCCACAAAGTCAGTAACTCATAATTATAAAGGCAAAGCAGTTTCACTCTAAAGACCAGCTATCTTATATAATATTTTTATTAATTTTCACTTCTAAAAATATACTTTAATATATTTTTCTAAAGGGGATTCCTTAATTAAACTTAAAAATATATTTTTGAGATAAAACTTTGCTCCAGACTAGTAATACTGTTTTTATTGCATTACTTAAATGTGGGAAGAATGAACTTTGAGGTGAGGTTCAAAAAACATTAACTTTTGCAATTATTTCGGAGGTTTTAATAATAATTTTACTTGCATTTTCCTCATTGTAGGCATTTCGCCCTGAGGAAGGTCACAGAATGGCGGCCGAAATGTTGGCAGCTGTGCCTAGCACGCGGCGTCTTCCGGACGGCCAAGTAGCTACTGATTATTTCGTGTTTCCGGACGCGTAAACGGCTATGGTCATTGTTCCCGTATGTGCATGCTACATCTCGGGAGGTGGTGGTGCCCCTCCTCCCTGGAACATGAGATCCGGCGCCGACCAAATCGGCTTGAGAGGTTTTCCCTCCGTCAGCCGGGGCAGGCTCTCGGCTCCCGGTGTGCGTGGAAGTGTATGCATGTGTGTAAGGGGAAAGGAGGTGATGAGGATGAGATAGGAAAGATCGAGCGCGCTCCAAGGACCATTTGTAAAGGTACTGCTTCGACATTCGCCTGGTATTGATCGGCAAATGGACAGACGTGTGGACGAGGAGACAGGCGAGGGAAACCTTTCTAGCCATCAAGGTCCCTAAAACGTATATTATCATCTCGACATTGAGTTTTCTCACCAATCCAATGCTTTCTCTAAACACTCACGATAAAGCTGCAAATAAAGACTTTTTTAATTTAACAATTTGGTCGCGAATTGGTCGTCTAGGATCGCGCGGTCATACACCTGCACTTACCGAGGGTCAGTAATATTTATCCCTTGGTAAGTGTATGTGATTCCTTTTTGGGGGGGGGGGATCAGTATTACGCTGAATCCAACTATTATCCCCCAGGGTTGTTTGTCCTGGGGGCATGGAAGATGGAATGATGATAATGAAGGATGAATGGACGACACACTCTGACATACACAAACACACCCATGCCCGAGGCGGGACTCGAACCCGCGATTCTTCCATATCCTGCGTCTCCGGATCGGCGAAGAAGAAGATAATAATAATAATAATAATAATAATAATAATAATAATAATAATAATAATAATAATAATAATAAATACTCTAAACCACGATTAAAAATGTTATGAGTTGGTTGTTAATAAATACTCCGGGTTGCAACCAGCTTCCTAAGGACCAGATCTAGGGACTATCCGTGCCTCTACAACACTTAACGCAAAATGTAGGCTGTTCCAAATAAAGCAATGGTCTTGCACTTCTCAATCTTTTGAATGACCTGGGAGTTAAGCAAAGTTTGTACACAAATTTTGCGGAACAAATTTTAGAGCTCTGGTAACTTTCGGTAAGACCTGTGCTTTTACGTCCCACATTCGGCTGATCTCGATTTCCAACCTTTTATATTTAAAGACGTTTCTCTGCCTCCTTGGTTACGACGTATTGATCGCATGGCACACAGCAAAATCAACAAGGAGCCATGATTTTTCTCTCCAAATCCCGGATATCCCTTTATCAGGTTTGTTTGTCACTATCATGAGATCAATTTAAATTGGTGATCGTACAATTTGTACACAGTTCAACAGATGTCACCGGTTTTGGTGTGTTCGTACTACTTGATGTATGTGTTTGAAACTTCGAGGGCGGAGCAGGTCTGCTACTGGAGGTTACTCCACACTCTGTTGTGTCTTTTCAAGAATTCGTTTTTTGGTAGAATTGAACCATTTGAGACAATATGATCAATGGTTTCTAACTGTTCGTGGCAAATGCGGCATTTATCATCTTGGG